TATAAATATATATATATATATATATATATATATAAAATTATATTCGACTTACTCGCGCGCGGCGACGTAACAAAATGGGTGTCTTCCCTGGGCAAAATCGACGTTCTGGGCTTGTCGGCGCAGTCCGTTTTGTCATCCGGGGTCGCTCAAACGACATCGTCGACAATCGGGTAAAAAACGAGTTAAAATTCAAATTTTACAAAATTTCGACCCGCGATCGATCGCTTCAAAAGGTTAACTCGAGCATTCGACAAGTAACAGTGCAAACGAAGCAAATCGTGGCGATCGGATTCTCCGACTCTCCGAATTGCGAAGTTGTGTGCGCGGGAGTGCGAATTGTGCAAAAGGCCACCCTAAGGCTCAGGAAGGTCCTATAGGGAATCCCTTTTGGGTTTCCTCATGTTGGTTTCATCCTTCTAAGTGCTAGAAGTTGAAATCACGCACGCGAAACCCCAGAAGGGGACAGAAGCGGGTTGAATTTCTAGAACAAGGCGGGTCCCATTTCTAAGGTTCTTAGATGGTCGAAGGAAGGTCCCTAAGGCTAGATCCTAAACCCTAAGAAGAAGACTAGACCTCACTAAAAATGAGGTCAAGACTCCTGTGACGGACAAAATTAGAGAATGACGTCTTAGATGGTTTGGTCACCTTAAACGTCGACCATCTGATGATCCGATTAGGAGAGTAGTTGTTTTAGATTCGACTTGTGTTAAGAAAGGCGGAGCTAGACCTAGGAAGACTTGGGCTTATTGTATAAAAAATGATCTTAATTTACTAGAACTAAATGAAAATATGACAATAAATAGGACACAATGGAGAAAAAGGATTCATGTAGCTGACCCCATGTAGTGGGATTAAGGCTTTGTTGTTGTTGTTGTTGGAAAAGTCAAACCGCTGCTAGAAAGTTCACACCGCACCTAGATAGGTGCGGTGTGAAAACACTATTTTCAGCATTTTGAAAACGCATAAGCTGCCAAAATACAGTTTACCCAAACAGGCAAGATGCGTTTTCAAAATGCTACCGTACCAAATAAGCTGCCCCAAACGAATCCATAAAGGTTTATTGTTCTTGTTGTTATTGAGGTTTCTTGTGTTGTTGTTGATGTTAATATTTATCGTGTTTTACTTGAAGGCTTTGTATCATTTATTTAAATGAGAAATTGTAAGAATCAAATTAAAAATTTTCTAATTAAGCTCTATTATTTATTTAGTAGCGCATGCTCTTTGATATTTAGGATATTATTTAATGCCTAAAAATTTTTTTCTTTTTTTTAACATCATTTGCTTAAATATTTATATTCACAAAATAATTCTTGATTTGGCATGCTCAATGGGTTGTGTTGTTGTTGATGTTAACATTTATTGTGTTTTACTTGAAATGCATAGTATCATTTATAAATTGTAAGAATCAAATTTAAAATCTTCTAATTAAGTTTTATTGTTCATTTAGTTGCGCATGCTCTGTGATATTTAGGATATTATTTAATGCCTAAAAAAAATATTCTTTATTTTGAACATCAGATGCTTAAATATTTATATTTACAAAATAATTCATGACATTGACATGCTCAATGGGTTGGGTATTTATAAGAATGTACTCTATACTTTAACAGTATACCTGGTTAAGAATATAAGCTTATTCATGCAGGCAGGTTAGCAATTATTGTATGGACCTTGAGGATAAAAGTGATTAGTATTGACTATATTGAACATATATGATACCATTTAAGAATTTAATTAAATATAAAACACACCAACTAATTTGTCATATGTGCTTAATAATCAATGCATAACTGATGCGGTTATTTTTGTAAGAGAACTCATCGGTGTATTCTTGATTCCTTCTTGGGATATTTTCTCTTCTAGAATTTTGTGCTGCAGGCTACTTTGGTAGGGATGAATTATAGCTATGGCAAAAGATAGGTATTGTTTGCCCATTTTCTACAAAATGTAGCATACATGATGCCACACTATAAACTTGCTAAATAGTTTCAGTTTAAAGAAGCAGTACTACTTTATACATCTACTTATTCCTTAACACTTCGGAGTATGTTAGTGCAACTATTATGTTGGGATTGCCATAAACGCTTAGGAAGCAATCTTTGTATTGGTTAATCTTTTTTTAAAAAGAAGTAATTTTGTTTTATTTACTTCATCTTTTTATTTAACTCTCTGTAATCGTCATTTACTTTCATCTTTTTTTATCTTACTTGATGTTGATCTAACATATTCAGTTATTCAAATAAACTATTTCTGTCCAGTAACCTGTCAATAACGGATTTAGAATCAGTTTTACTATCATAGTTATATGTGTCCACTTTGATTTTTTGTAACTTATGTCATCATCTTTATGAGTATCATGAACACCATGAATTGTTGAAAACGTTAGTTTCGTTTTTTCCTGCCGAAATTGACATTCATATGAATTGGTTCTTCATTGTGTTTTGAATTTTTTTTTTCAAATTTACATGCATGAACCTTATTGGCTTCCAAATTGTTAATTCTTATTTTAATCGTATTTGACAATTTTTTGAAGTTTCCATGTGATATTTGATTTATTTATTTATTTATTTCAGCAATTCAATCAATTGATTTTTTGTAGTTAAAATTTCATCATTTCATGCATTGTTAAGTTATTCTGATAATTAACCCTTCTTTTAAGCAACATTGTAATATAAATATTATAATACCAATTTGATGCAACACGACTCAAGTTAGGGGGTTATTAATGCAACTAATATATAGTATGCTTCCATGCAAAAGAAAATTGATAATACATCGATTTTTAGTTACCAGTTTAGTTAACAACTCACTTTGTTATTTGAGTATTAGTTGTCCTCGAGTCTAAATGATAACGAAATGATCATAAATATACAGGAGCTTTCGCAGCGATTTGAAATAAATAAAATCAGCAAGTGAATTAGTTTTCCCCTAAATTGATTTCCATCATTTCAAATTTTTATTGAAAGCAGCACTAAACTAGCCAATGTCAAAATTTCATAGAAGAAATAAAAAGTGAAACAAAGTTATCAAAAAAAGGGAAATTTTGAAATTACTTTTGTATTACGCCTAAATAAATTATTACATTTAACTTGTTCTCACAATATATAGAACTAAAAGAGAAATTTTATTCAAATCAAAATTTGTGAGTTGCATGTTGCATACCACTATTTATCCACACTTCATAACAAGATTACTAGATAAGCTTGGCACAAAATCATGCTCAATTATTTTTACATTTATTTTTTTTTTTCAAGACAATCCAACATTATCCTTATTTCAATTTAAATTTTGAACACACTCATACTAGTCACGCTACAGATGACGTGCTTTATACTCTCAGAAAGCATCATGTCTCTTTTGTTTCTTTTTTGCTTTATACATAGAGAGGTTAACAAAACGGCCCATTTTTTTGTGCTGGGCTCACTTTAAGCGGTTCATTTGTTGGGAAACCTGAAGATTGTCATCCCTCTTTTGTTTATATTCTTAGGGATGACGTTTCTTCTACTAGTGATATGGTGCATTTTGTACATGCTAAATAGCATGTTTTTTGTATTTCTCTTGCAATTTGGCTTTTATTAATGCAAAATGAAATATTTCATGGAAAGCATCATACATTGTTGTATTGTGCACAAAACATGGTAAGCATGGTAAGCAAAAAAAAAAAAAAAGCAAATCCCATACCCTGGTAATTGCACAGGAACTAGAGGCAAAACTCATGCACATCCACAAGGATTGCAAGCAATTCTCCTGTCTTTCACTTTTTTATTTTCTTTATAAATAAAGAATGATAAGTCAGGCCACATGTCCATCCATCCGCATTTATCATAACCAGCACATGCCTTTTTTTACTTTTTTTAAATAAAGGCAAAAACCATCACCATAGGATCAGCCGCTACGTCATCTTGTATAATTCATATATAAGCTGTTGCCATATTAGAAATTGTTCATCTGTGTTTGTCCATCATACCTTATTTGAGAGATGAATAGCTAGTAAATTTTTATGCAGTGCTCATTTTACGTTTTAGTATTTTATTGGTTGACACCCATATTAAATTACAACTTCATATAAGATGGATCATTCGGAGCTCTAATTGAATTTGCAATGTCACTGGACAATATGATAAATATTTGCTTTATCACACTGGCATGATGACATGACTTGCTCTTTACATTTGTATCATCATCATTTTCTCTCCTGCAAGAACATCTGGTGATTAGTGACGTATCAACCTAAGATATGGTGATTTTTTCTATCATGAGAAGATTTTCCCTGATTTTATTGCTAAATATTAACCTTTATAATTAATGCCAAGAATAAATGCTTCTCGTCATCCTCTTATGGGTTCATAATTTGTGATTTATTCCATCTTTCATTTGAAGTGGTAAACTAAAAGTGTGTTTATGTGAATTTGATGGCTTGGCAGTGAGGATGCTAGATTGAGTTGTGGATACTCGAGCTTTAGAGGAAAGAGAGCAAGCATGGAGGACTTCTTTGACATAAGGAACTCCACAATAGATGGGCAAACTGTTAATCTCTTTGGAATATTTGACGGTCATCGTGGTTCACGTGAAGCAGAATTCGATGGTCAGTTGTTGATTTCCTCTTCTTTTTTTTTTCTTTTTTTTTTTTTAATAATGTTACTGGTGAGTGAGTTTATTGTTTTTCACATCCTTGTTTTTATTTGATGCTTTAGGTCATGGTGGTTCGCGTGCAGCAGAATTTTTGAAGGAGCACTTATTTGAAAACCTTCTTAAGCATCCAGAATTTTTAACTGACACAAAAAAGGCTATATGTATGTTTTTCTTGTATTGCATTGTTGTGATGTGGAGCTGTTTCTCTTTATTGATTCGTTTTCTTTGGCAACTGCAGGTGAGACTTATAAAAAAACTGATACCGACTTCCTAGATTCTGAAAGTAATACTTTCAGAGATGATGGTTCTACAGCTTCAACTGCAGTTCTAGTTGGCAAACGTTTATATGTAGCTAATGTTGGAGATTCACGTACTGTTATATCAAAAGCTGGCAAAGGTTCTAATCATTCTCAGAATTCTGGTTTTTGCTGTCAGGAAATATGTTAGCATGTATAATTTTAGTATATTGTATGTGTTTATACAAGGATGATCAAAATGGATGAGATTTTCCATTAGATTTGCAAGATTTAAGATATTGTGAAACTATACGTTTGGTTAGATTGAAAGCATGCCTGTCATGGTCGATTTGCAAGATTTAAGATATTGTGCCTATTTATGCATGTCTAGTACTAAGAATACAATATATATTTTACTTCAAGGTCTCAGAAGGAAGCTTCAATTATTGTTACGTGTTTTCCTAGTTTGTTGGTAGTTTCCTGGATTATTTCTTCCTATGCATTTAAATATATTTTCTTGATTTTTTTTCTTGACTTCTTTATTATCCATTATTTTTGCTACCTGTCGATAGCTATACCTCTTTCTGACGACCACAAGCCAAATAGAAGCGATGAGCGCAAGAGAATTGAGGATGCGGGAGGAGTTGTTATGTGGGCAGGTATGCTTCTAATTGTCGAATATGTTACTTTTAATTCTTCTAGTTGCTGGGGTCATGCAACTCTTAACATGATGATGTTGTTGCATTTTGCTGGACATGTACCTCTGGGATTTTGATTGTTTAATTTGTTAATTTTTCCACATGAGGGAAAAATTTTTGTGTAGTTTGCATGTGATCTTAACAACTGATGTAATGCAGGCATTTCATTATTAGCAGGAAGAAAATTTCAGCACTTTTATATTGGGAATGAGAGATTATTTTCAAGATTCTTTTTTTTTTCTTTCTTAAATCAGTGGTGGTTTTAAGCTTGGCGCTAGTGTAAGCTTCACCAACCTTATGATTTTTTTTTCCGGTCTTGCAGGCACTTGGAGAGTTGGAGGTGTGCTTGCAATGTCACGTGCCTTTGGTAATCGCCTGCTAAAGCAATATGTAGTGGCAGAGCCTGAGATTCAGGTGCATACCATTTTATGATATTTTCTCTATGAATGCTCTTCAATCTTAATGCACCTTGATCCATGGATTATTTGACAACCATCCAGTTCACTTGATAAGATGTGGCCACTGTTCGCTAAACTTAATTAAGAAGAGGTATTAGAAAAGTTTTAGCACCTTAGACTGCTAAGTACTCAATTGGTATCGTGATCATTAGTACAAGTACAATTTTTGTCATGCATATTTATGTTTTCCATGTATGTTCACCTTGAAGCTCATGTCATGGATTTATAGTGCTTATTGAGAAATATTTAATATGCTGTTAGGTTTTAGAGATAACTCTTATTTTCAAGAGTTGTACCTTAGAAGGATGAAAATAAAGTTCATGGTATATTAGCCATGGTTCTGTGAGTTTCCTTGCAAATTTGGATGTCTGTGCAAACCTTCCCCTCTCGAGCTGGAACATTCCTGTGGATTTTTCTCATAGTTGCATTGGCCAACTGCTTATAGAAATTTTCAGTTGCAGTGATGAATATGCATGAATAAGAACTTGATCTGGAGAATGCTGCAAGTTTTACTCTTTAGCCTTGTAACATTTGGTTCCGGTTAGACGCCTCAAGAAGCAAGTTGTTGTATATTTTCCTTAAATGTGCCCATTATAAAGATCTAAATAAAAAATAAAAGTGTAAATCAGAACCATGTTTTATGTAGCTTGTTATGTTCAATGTTGTATAAAGATCTTGACATACGGTGTTGGTGCCGAGAATACATAATAAAAGAGTGAATGCTATTTTCTTCGATTTTTTTGTCATTTGACATTCTTAATGCCGGGCATGTCTATTATGGAAGTATACATTTATTGAGAGGTTTGATGGAGAAGTTAGAGAGAATAAGTAGGATCTACATATAATTTTTATTGATTAGAGAAAGGTTTCGATAAGGTTCCTAGAGATATCCTTTGGAGAGCTCTAGAAAAGAAAGGTGTTGATATGACTTATATTCAAGGCATTAAAGATATCTATACTAGAGTCGTTACTTGTGTTCGAACAGAAGAAGGGCTGACTAAATATTTTTCTATTTCAGTTGGATTACATTAGGGATCAGCTTTAAGCCCATATCTTTTTGCTTTAGTTACGGATGCTCTTACTGGACATTTACAGGAGGATGTACCTTAGTGTATGCTTTTCTCTGTGATATCATTCTCGTGGATAAGACTAGAGAAAAAGCTCAGGAAAACCTTGAATTATGGAGGTCTACATTGGAGTCTAAAGGCCTTCGTTTGAGTAAAACTAAAACTGAAACATGGAATGCAATTTTAGTAGTAGTAGCTCTGGTGACAGCTGTAATGAGTATCTAATTATTAAAAGGTGTGAATGATTTAGATATCTCGGGTCTATTGTTCAAAGTGATAGTTATATAAATGGTGGTTTTATTAGTAGAATTCAGGTTGGTAGGTTGAAGTGGAGGAATGTTTCGGGCCTATTGTGCGACAAAAAAGTACCTGCTTAGATTGAAAGGAAAATTTTATAAGATGGTGGTGAGACCTACAATGCTCTATTGCGTTGACTGTTGATGAGTGGCTTTACACTTAGAGACAAGATGTGAAATGAATATATCGATGATAGGGTTGATATAGCTCTAGTGGCAGCAAAATTGGAGAGAGTCGTCTTAGATGGTTTGGCCACATTAAGCGTATCTAATGATCCGATTAGGAGAGTGGATGTTTTAGATTCGGCTTATGTTAAAAAAGGCAGAGGCAGGCCTAGAAAGGCTTTGACATATTGTATAAAAAATGATCTTAATTTATCAGAATTAAATGAAAATATGAAATTAAATGAAAAATGAAAATATGACACTCAATAGACGCAATGGAGAAAAAGGATTCATGTAGCCGACCTCACTTAGTAGGATAAAGGTTTGTTGTTATTGTTGTTGTTGTTCTTGCATTCTTATTGTATATCATTTTGGTTCAATATATAATTATTATATGCTTCTACAACAACAACAAGTCTTTATACCACTAAATTGGTCGGCTACTTGAATCATTTTTCTCCAAATTAGTCATTATTATCTGTTTCTGCTAATTATTAATAGCTTTTATGGACATAATTGGTAACGAGTACTATATATGTTGTTGAAATAAATAATGTTCAAACTATTGTTCATTTCACTTTATAACAAGTTAATGAACATTGACCGACCTGTGTATTTTGATTTTGACTATGCGCTTCTTTTCATAGTTTGTTTTTCTATATTATTAGCTATTTTTTAAAAATAATCCACTAATGTTTGAATACAGGAAGAAGAAGTTGGTGAAGACTTAGACCTCTTGGTTCTGGCTAGTGATGGATTATGGGATGTTGTACCAAATGACGTAAGCTTTACTTCATAATACATTACAATGCATAGGCTTTGACCCCACATTTATCTTCAATCATCGCAGTTTCATATCAACACATTGGTTTCAATAGCTAATTATTCTTTTTCTCATAGATTGGATAATGGGAACAATTTTTCTTTCCTTTGCCAAATTAGGGAATATAAAAACAAATGATTCAATTTTTTACTGCTGCGGCATGGATTACATATTCTGTGTGTTTTATATATATATATATATATATGTATATATAGACTGAAACCATATATCCACCTACGAACCATTTAGCTTCTTTCATAATGTATTGGGGTTTTGCTTTTGACTTGGCTCAATAAACTATTTTAATAAACTATTTTAATGTGTCTTTTTTATCGTTCAATCGGTGATTTTTTTTGTTTTTTTTTTTTTTTTTCTGCATGATTGGAAGGATGCAATTTCTCTCGCAAGGACAGAAGAAGAATCAGAGGCTGCTGCACGAAAGTTGACTGAGACTGCTTTCTCTCGTGGAAGTGCAGACAACATAACATGTATTGTTGTAAGATTTCATCACTACGGATAAAGATAATTCGTCTGCGGATCACCAATCAATCTAATTGTATTTTCAAGGCAGGGTGGAGGGAGAGGTTTTTTGTGTGCTAGTTTGGTGCATGTATTTTTATCAATTCTGGACATGTTCTTAGCATTTTGTTCATATGTTGTAAAATCATATTTTGTTTGGATATTCATCGTACCATTGTGCATTCTTAGGGTGCGTATGTTTTTTTTTATTTTTTTGTGGCTTTCAGGTGGTTTTTTGTGTGGAAATACTATTTTTTAGGGCTCGGTTTAAATAATTTTGTATTAATTTGTTTAGGGTTTAGAAATAAAATGCTGCACTTTTTATAATTAATTTTATTTCCACATTTAAATTAATGAAATGAAACTACTATATTTTACAATTTTTTTTCTCTCTATGAGCATATATGTTAATATATTAACAATTCATTCTGCCTTGGATTTGGTTGAGTTACATTTAATTTATAGAGCTGCGAAACATAAATTTAATTAAGTATTGGTTCAGTATTTAATAAGATGTTGCTCATATATGCTTAAAATTGTTAGATTTGCATGGTTATGAAGCACTAAAAAAAGAACCAAGAGGTGTTCTTGTTGAATTTTTTTTCGTTTTAAATCAATTCGTTGGTCTGGCTCTATTCAATTTGATTTGTTTTTATGTACTAATATTTATAAGTGGTTTAGATTCTATAATATTGTGATTAATAATTTACGATAAATTTGTGAATATGCAGCTTGATGCTTGGAGGATGTGGTTGCATCTCAAATCAAATAACATGATGAGTTGGGTCATGCATTTTTGTGATTTATTCCTCATCATTGAAAAATAATCTCAAGCTATGGCAAATTTCCTAATAGGCTTCTCCGAATAAGGAAAATCGAGCGGAGGTGATGGTACTGGTGACCGAACCTAGAATTTGCACGTTGATGGAGCCTCGAGTTATGTGAGAGTAGGGATCAAACTGGCCCAAGCAATTTGATTGAAGAGCATCTCTATCACTTGTTCGTCCTCAAGTTTAAGTTTACCAACAATCAAGTAGCATATGAAACATTGATAGTCAGCCCACGCCTTTGAAATGGCATTCGACATCTAGTAGTAAAGTCGAATTCACAATTGGTGGTAAAATCGTGTTCACGAAAAATTCAAAGCCATGCAGAAGAAGATGATCGAATAATTGAACAAAGTAAATGTGTAGATAGGGAAGTTTACAAACTTAAGGATGAAGCACGTTAGTAAGGAAGAAAATCAAATAGTGAGTCTTCTATCAAAGAACATTTGCTTTAAAGGAGGGACACTCTAAAGGATTCTTCGGTTCTCCATTGAGGAACTAGAGGCCATGGAGTTGAAAGTTGAAAGCACAAAGAGTTGTCTAAATCCCTTCATACAATACCTAGAGACTAGAAAGATCCCATAAATAATAGATCAAAAGATTTAAATTCAATGCAATACAATATTACATGATTGGAGGTAAACTTTTTTTAGTGTCAACCACTTCATTACTCCTAAGATTTGTTAATTAAAACCCACATGGATAAGGTGAAGTCTCTTGTAAGTTACAATGAGTAGGGAATCGATCCCTTTCTGACAGAGTGAACTTTTCTTGAATCGAACGCCATTGCTTATCACAAATCAATTTTTCAGAAGCAATAGTAAGATGCAACTAGGCTAATTTTCTCGTGAGCACTAGGTTATTGGTCGCTCTAGCTGTGAAGGATGTATGACATGGAATTATATAAGATTTTGGCATCCTATATATGAAAGATTCCTTCAAGGAGAGGTAGCTCGGTATGAGTTTGCTCAAGTGGGGCATTTTTCGTTGGTTATTTGATTAGTTTTGGAAGCATTTACTACTAAGCCTTGTATAAAAGCTAGAAGGATTTCATTCCACGACTCCTCTATCTTGTGCATTTAATTCTCTAAAGAGGAATCTGAGACACCTTTGCCAACATGATAGCGACCTACCTGGTGAAAAGTGGTAGCGACTTGGCGTCCTTGACGATATGATTGCCACTGGAATGGTGGGTGTTGGAACAGGATGCTCTATTGTTGTGAGTGTTGCATCTGATGACCATTTAGCAAGTTTCACAAGTTCTTCGCGGTGGGATTATGATTCCTATAGATGACACCGTACTGATGTGTGCTAGAGAATTCGTGGTGGTAGAGTAATGAATTATAGTCTTAACATTGCGCGATAATCTAATATATTCTAAGGTATTAAAAGTGACAGGTAAATACACAAGAGGTGTTTATGCGGAAAACCTGAAAAAAGAAAAAAATTAGGAGGCCTGGCCTAGTTGAAATAATTCACTATGAGTTGGTGATTATACGTAAAAGCTCTAGTCTCACAGGTAAGAAATGGTTACACAATTTTTTAAGTTACAACAGTTTGCATAAAAGAGCTCATTGTCCCCTGGTATTGTTAGAGCTTTGATACTCCATCTTCGAGGTTGGCATAATGTTTGGGATGATGCATTACTCCTTAGGATGTTTCGTGAGTCCACAACATCAATTGTTACTTGTGGCTGACGATGGTTGAGAGTTGGTAGTTTATGGTGGTTGCCAGATCTTCGATGCAAAAGTGATGTTGGATTTCATCTTCTTCTCCAAACTTCAATCTTTCTTTTGGCTCAAGGTCTAGATCGCCTCATAAGGAGTGGTGGGGCTTTACTAATAGAGTTTAGGAGAGATCTCTCTGCAAATAAGGAATAAATACATACCACTTCATCGGACAACCCAAAGAGATTCTCTTGATTGGATGACATTCAATAAACATTTAAGTTCCTTAGTGATGCTAGAATTTAGTGATTTTAGGCTCATTAGATTTGTCTCGTCAAGACACTCAATTTGACTATAAACATGTTAGATTTGGAATCCATTTGTTTTTCCGATTATATATTAAAAGCTTTATAGAGTGGTTTATCAGCTTGATGTGAGTTTGATTTGTCATGAATTGGATCGATTTTGTTATCAATCAATCGGTCTGGTCGAGCCGATCAGTTTGACAATAAATTTACTAAAATAAGAGTTCTGAATAATTTTTAATTAAACCTTGAATATTCCCTGCTTAAAAATCGCCTCAAATTCATGCCGGATGATAGAAAATTTTTTGCGGCGTACCACTTCCATTGAGATTATTCTAGCACGGATAATTATAAATTTAAATTTGGATATAAAACTCATCAAACTATAATTATGCGTGTATATATATATATATATATATATATATATATATAT